TAAAAAAAGATGATTTATTTGGAGGTAGAGGAGGGCTGCACTTGACATAGCAGGTAGCAGGTGAAGGCTCTGTCTGCACTGCCAGCAGCCCACATAGGCGCCGATTCAAGTCTGGCTTGTCCACTCCTAATCTAGCTCCCTGCTAATGCATCTAGGAAAGCAGCAGAGGATGGGTGCTACAAGCCAGAGCTGGGCCAGTCCGAAGCTGGGTGCTCCCTACCTCTGGGCTTCTCACATGGGTTCAGGACTCCAAGCACTTGAGTCATCATCCTCTGTTGCTTTTCCTGGCCATTAACAAGGAGCTGGATAAGAAGTGGCGCAGCTGGGACTTGAACTGGAACCCACCCATATGTGATGCTGACGGCATCAAGAGCAGCTTTACCCCCTGTGCCACAACACCCATAACTCCATCTTTTGCATGTCAAGGCTAAAAGGGAGACCGCAGGGCGCAGAGGGCCCCCACTGGTAGCTGAATGGCTCCTCTTACAGCCATGGTAGGGAATCTGAGAGGCAATGGTGTGTACCCACCATGAAAAGATCCCTACCTGGCCACAATCACTCCTCTGTCCACTGCATCTCCTTGTCACCCACCCACGCTACACGCAGCACATAGACACTGCCCCCAGGACTCCCCAGCACACCCTGCGGGTCCTGATGGGGGTTTGCATCTCACAGAGAGAGGAGAAGGTGGCTCTGCAGCAGGCTGAGGTATAGGTGTGGGCCAGGAAGCCACCCAGTCAGGCTGGGTCCCAGGGCTGTCACCACCACAAGCTCTAGGCCCTGCTTGTCCTGATGCACAGCTGTGCGCCTGGAGGGAACCATGGGGTCTGCTATGGCTCGTGTTCCCTCTCTCCCACGTGTCTTCAAGGCAGGTGCCTAAGACAACAGCAGCCATGAGGGACAGTGCAGTGCCAGGCTGGCAGCCTTCAGGCACAGGACACTTGGGTCCCCAGATGTGTAGAGAGGAAGGGCAAGGCCAGAGCAGCAGGTGCACCCACAGGCTTGGTGCACCCACAGGCTTGGTGCACCCACAGGCTTGGTGGCCCAGTGCTTCAGAGCAGCAGCCAGGGGATAGGCTTCCAACTGACTGGCCACGCAGTATGTGTGATCAGACTCAACTGGCGCCAGCAAGGAGAGCCAGCTCCACTTGGCTTTGATGGATGGGGGCTCTGCACCCAGCTCTGACCACATTAATTACGAAGCCTGCCACAAACCAGGTGCTGCTGGTGGAGCCTCACACCTAGCAATTCCTGCTGAGCTATGTCAGGGTCCCCAGAGGTTCCCAGCCCTTGAGAGGTTCCCAGCCCTTCCCAGCACCTGCAGCCTGTGAGCGCTTCTCTTCTATGGCAAAAGGGACTTTGTAGAGGGGAGGCTAGGAAGGGTCTTGAGATGGGAAATGGGCCTGGATCAGCCACGTGAGCCACTTGTTACCTGACAGCCATGTGTCACCCTCAAGATGATGGCAGATGTCCTTGTAAGACAGAGAGAGAGAGAGAGAGAGAGCATTAGAAGAGCTGAGGGAGGGGAAGGAGCAAGAGCAAATATAAGAGAGAGAAGGCAAAGTGGTGTGAGGCTGGGCTCCCAAGTCAAGGAAGTCAGAGCAGGTGATTCTCTCCTGCTTCCAGAAGGAGTCAGCTCTGCCCAAGCCTCTGTCTTAGCCTGACTCTAGAGTTTGGTCCCCTAAAAGTTCACAAGGACAGATCTGTATTCTGTCAGACCACCATGTTTGTAGCACCTGCTTACAGTAGCTAACGGGGAATACAAATGCTGCTTTATGGAGGAATCCAGATGAGTGGACAAGGCAGCAAGAGATGAGGCCAATTCTATAGGCTGCTGGCTGGAGTCAGATGTCTCCTATTGCCCTTGCTGGCCACGACTACTATTCATGCTCTGGCCAGGAAGGAAGCTGACCAGGATGGGGCCTGTGTGGGACTTGGTCCAACCCAGAGCAGGGGAGAGGCAAAGCCTGGATGAGACCCAGGCCACCTTGTGTTCTCCTAAGTGGGGGTAGTGGGTGGCTGGGCCAGGAGCCTCTCTGCTTCCTTCAGTGCCAAAGCCCCGTGCAGTCAGAGGGTCCGAAGCCTGAGCCTATGGCAGCACCACTTCTAAAGTCATGAATTAGCTTATCAGCCCCACCCCATGGGTCTGGCCCAGCAGGTCTGGCTGGAGCCTGAGAACCTAAAAGCTCCCAGACATCATCAAGAAGAACCCAAGGGCCAGCCATTTTTGCAGCAGCACAACGGGTTCATTTTGCAGTCTAAGGACAGCTGCGTCCCAGATTGGAGTGCCCGGGCTCAAGCTCTACCTTCACTTGTACTGTAGCTTTTTGCTGATGCAACACCTCAGGAGGCAGTGAATGATGGATCAGCTACCTGAGTTCCAGGCCCTGTGCATGCAGGATCCTTGCTCCAGCCTTTGGCTGCTGTGCACATTTGGGGAGTGAAGCAGTGGATGGAAAGATGTCTCCGTCTTTCTATTCCGGCTCCCTAGGCTGCCTCAGTTCTATTGTCTGGAACAAGAAGAACTCAATGTGATGATGACCACTTTAGAGTTTCTCTTTACTTCCAGTAGGGTGTGCCTCTAGTTGTGTGTGCCTACAGAAGGACATACTTGCAGGTGTGCCCACAGAGCAGTGAGCTGGGAGCAGCCAGCACTGAGACCCCATTCAGGTAGTACCTGGGCAGGCCTGCTGTGCCAGTGGGCAGGAAGCCAGCAGCCTCAGCCCTGTCCCAGACAAGAGTCGGGGTTCCCTGGCCACACCCAGGAGTCTCCGACGGGGCAGTTCTGTGCTGATGCAATCACAGCTCCCAATAAATGCAACTCCCAGGGCTGCCTAGTCTGTGGTCTCGGGCACCTGCAGCCGAAGAGGCGCCGGAGGGGTGCTGAGGATGGAAGCAGGCCCCATCACTCCCCTGAGGCAGACTCAAGGCTGCCCCCAGCAGAGCCAGATCAAGGTACATGCCCCAAAGTGAAACAGGAGGCTCCCAGCATCAGAAGACAACTGGAAGCAGGGACACTGGGAGATGCGTGGCCAAATCGGCTTAAGGATGCACATGAGCTAACAGCACTACATTGGGCTATGGATTGGCCACATCTCACATCACTGTGTCTGGAGTCCAGTAATGGAACCTCCCTTTGAATCCAGCTTCCTGCTAAGGTGTAGCCCAGGAGGTGGCAGGCTAATGGGCTAAAGTAGCTGGGTCCCTGGTACCCACATGAGGGACTCAGTTCCCAGCTGCTGGCTTCAGCTTCGCTCAGAGCTGGTTGTTGCAGGTCTTTAGGGAGTGAACAAGCTGATAGAAGATCTTTCTCTAATTTTTAAAAAGATTTATTAATTTGTATGGGAAAGCAGATTTACAGAGAGTAGGGGATACAGAGAGAAAGATCTGTCTGCTGGTTCACACCCCAAGTGGCCGCAACGGCTAGAGCCGAGCTGATCCGAAGCTAGGAGCCAGGAGCCTACCCCAGGTCTTCCAAGCAGATGCAGGGTTCCAAAGCTTCAGGCCATCCTCTACTACTTTCCCAGGTCACAAGCAGGGAGTTAGATGGATGGGAAGTGCAGCAGCTAGGACATGAACTGGTATCTATATGGGATCCCTGTGCTTGCAAGGTGAGGATTTAGCCACTGAGCCATTGCGACAGGCCCTTTCTCTAACAAGTTTAACCAATCCTGCTGTCCCGAGATTTGAACATGACGAGTGCTCAGTGAGCACTTATGGACAGGAGAGGGGGTGCAGTTTGCTGACTATGTACCTATGGGCGGTGGCCCTAGCTATGAGGGGCATGCCCAGAACCTGTAGGGAGATGAGTGCGAGTACAGATCATGCTGGGCCAGCAATGAAGTGAGAATCCAGGGCCAGAACTGCCATGTAGTGCAGGGGACCACAGTGGCCCAGGGAGGTGAGGCTTGGAGAAGGCCGAAGGAAGGGCTGTGCTGATGGGCTGGGCAGGTGGTAGGACCGAGGCATGGAGACATGGGACAGGGTGATGTGCGTGAGGGACCAGATAGCACCCTGACATGAACAGGTGAGCTGGGACAAAAATGCTAGGGCCAGAGGGTCACAAAAGGGGCTCTAGGGACAACCAGTCCTCTTGGCAGCACACCTCCTGTGGAGGGCAGGTATGGGGAGAAGGCTGAGGCCCCAGAACAGAAGGAATGGCCAGGGGCTGAGCCATGAAGACCATGAAAATGGGCACTGGCCACATGCTGGGTTAGGGCTACTGATAACACTGCTGATGATGCTCTCTCGAAATTTATTTCTGTATTTGAAAGGCAGAGCTATGAAAGAGATATTCCATCCACTGGTTCATTCCTGCAAAAGGCTGCAAAGCAGGGGCTGGGCCAGGGTGAAGCCAGGAGTCAAGAGTTTCCTCTGGGTCTCCGTCGTGGGTACAGGTATCCAAGCATGAGCCATCCTCTGCTGCTTTCCCAGACTATAGGCAGGGAGCTGGATCAGAAGGGGAGCAGCGGGGATTCAAACTGGTGTCTAATCAGGATGCCAGCACTACACATAATGGCCTTTCCTATGATGTCACAATGTTGGACCCTGAACATGCTCCTTCTCTGGAGAGTCCAAGGCTGAGGCCAGGAATAGCATCCTTCTGAGCTTGTGTATGCAAACTGGTGACTATATAATGCTTTACTGCACAGGAATGCATGCCTGGATTGGTGGAAGAAGAGGGTGCTCTGGACAGGAGCAGTGCAACTCCGATACCTTATGCAGGCTCTGTGTCCTGGAGTGGACAGCCGGCTCACACATAGGTGAGGAGCACTCAAGGAGCACTTCTACCACGAAAGGCTGGTGCCTGAGCTGTGTCCACAGGAAGTGACTCCAGCATCCTTCCTGGGACCCAAACAGGCTGCTGGTTGCCTGTCATGCACCTCCACGCCATGTTAACTGGCCAGCCCCTTTGGGACAAGGCACGTTAGGAATGCCAGGCAGAAAGGCCCAGGTGGCCGAGGCTGTGGGACAACCTCCCAATGGGAGGGCAGGACTTACCCGGGCACGCCGTGGACAGAATGTGGCTCGTAATGGTAGCGTCCCTCCTGATGGCGCATGTCAATAGTCAAGGGTGCGTGGAACGGTGGCAGGAGGTGCTGGGGCACTGTGGAGGGGGAAGACAGAAATAGGACTTCAAAACCGCGTCCTCTCCCCTCGAAAAGCAACGTTCAAAGGGTTTTAAAGCTCGCTGAATTTCAAGAGCAAGAGCAGCCAGGACAAGGGGCTCCAAGTGCCCGTGCAATCACACACCCACAGAAGGGGGGATGAATAAATAATCAAAGTCAGCCCGAGAATCCTACATCTTCCACATAAAAGATCCCCAACCGTGTTCTTGACAAAGACAAGCAGCTCGGCGCTCTTTGAACTCAGGCAGATAACAGGGAGGGCCACGGAACTCGCCTCAGCCCGCAAATCACAGCTGACGGAGCCGACAGCTCCCACACTCTGCCAGCCCCTGTCCATTGGCCCCTGCGGCAGCATCCCGCAGGTGCCGCACACGCTGGATGGAAATGTTGCCACCTGAGAAGGCAGGCCTGGCAGGGATGGGGTGATCCACCCCGGGAAGGCCAAGTCCCAGCAACTAGTGGACATCGCTGCGTGTGGCTGTCATTCCTCCCCTCAGCCTGGGAACTGAGACGGACCCGTGTGCACAGGCAGGCAGCTTGGGAGCACGTGCATGTCATTCCAGGCGCTGACTCAGCCTCTTGCCTGCACTTGGCCAGCGCTCAGCAAACCATCACAATAATTGCACCATGCTCTTTGCTTACTTAGAAAAAAAAAAAAAGTCTGGGTGCCCCAGAGGCAAAGATAATTACAGGCTTTAGGGAAACTACACTCTTTAAAATGCAGTTCTACCAAGAAGAAGGGTTCTCCCACCAGGGTGAAGGTTGAGGCTGCGGTGGGAAGCAGTGTTGGGTTAACGGCTGGGACAACTGTAATTAAACTGCAAAAACACTTATGCCAGGGCTGGCACTGTGGCACTGTGAATTGAGCCACCCTCTGTGGTGCAGGCATCCCATATGGGCATCAGCTGGAGTGTTGGCCATTCCAGTTCTGATCCAGTTCCCTGCTAACGCACCTGCTAAAGCAGCAGGGGATGGTCCAAGTCCCTGGGTCCCTGCACCCATGTGGGAGACCTGGAAGAAGCTCTTGGATCACCTCAGCTCTGACTGTTGTGGTCATTTGGGGAGTGAACCAGTGGATGAAGACTTCTCTCTGTGTCTGTAAAATCCACCTTTCATAAAAATAAATACATCATTTTAAAAAGTTCACACAGAGGAAGTGCTTAGCTCACAGCCTGCATGGAGAGGGACCGCTCAGCGGCTGGCAGTAGCACATCTGGAGCCTCCTGGGCTCTGAGCTGCAGGTCGTCATCTTGAACCACAGCTACAGTCTCGTGTGGCTTCCCAAACCTCATTTTTGTTTCATCATCAGCCCATTTTCTAGAAAAGAACATCAAGGCGCAGGGCAGAGTGACAACCAGGCAGGTGGTTGCACTGTATCTCCCAGTACATCTGACATGGCAGGCCCCTGGTGACCAGGCTCGGAACACTCATCTCTGCCACTGCAGGAGCACTGGGCTTGCACAGGCTGTACGGGCAAAGGCCACGGTGAGCAGGCAGGGGAAGAAAGAAAGAAGACAAACCCAGACAGCCAGCCAAGCCCCAAACACCTCTGCCCAATCCAGTGGCTACCACAGGGGTGAAGTCTGGATGGGCATGTCCATTTGTTCCTACACGCATGCCTTGTATTCAACTTGTGTTACATGGCAGCCACTGTTCCAGGCCCTGGGTACAGCGGCTGGACTGAGGGAGAGGAGACAGGTGGCAAACATTTACACAAACCCGGGGATGGAGGAAACCAGAACGGTAGAGGGAGCAGAGATGGAGGAAGTCAGGTCCCTCTCTTGGGAAGAGGGGATGCTCCAAGCACAGGAAACGGCAGGTGCAAAGATGCCGGGGTGCGGAAGAAACCTCGACACCATCAGTGTGAAGCCCAAGGTGGCTGGAGAACAGGGGAAGATGCAGGTGGGAGAATCAGCAGGGAAGGAAGGTCCAATGTCCCCAGGAGGTGCTTTCCTGAGCCACCCAGAAAGCCACTGGGAGGTCCTAAGAAGCCTCCACCTAACTTGGGTCAAATTTTTTCAAAACACGAAGAGCATCTAGGGGTGAAAGTGCACACACACTTCAGCCAGAGTCCCAGGGGGCCGTGGGGCACTGGGGAAGTTACGTCTACACTTGAGCTCCCACCTGCCTCCTCGTACGTGAAGCGGGGAGAGAAGTTCTCGGGTCGCTTTCGTATCAACATAATCCTGTGGTCTGCAAACAGCAGCTTCCTCAGCGACGGATCCTGCCCGTGCCAGTGTGTGACATGCCAGGGTTTTACAAGGGACCATGGGGCTGGACACAGCCAGGGCGCCTGGCAGGAAGTGCCAGCCCCTCTTGATGGTTTAATAGGACAACCCAGAGGCCCTGTTCAATGCACTTGGTCCATCAGTTCCTGTCACCTGAACCCTGGTGTAGCAGGGCAGCATCGCCAACACACACACACACACACACACACACACACACACACACACACATCTGCGCATGCAAAGGCATGCAGTACATAGATACTCAAGTGCACATGCATCCAAATACATATCATTATGCATGCACATATGTCACACACACAGGCTCTGGGGAGTTTTTCCCCCAAGATACATTGCCTGATAAAGGCAGACCCTGACACCTCACCCCACATGTCCCAGAAGAAAACCTCCCAAAGTGGATGATTTTGCTTCAAAGCTGCTCCACTAGACGGAGGAGAAGTAAATCCTCCTCCTGCCAGCGTCCTGGGGACATCAGGGAATGCTGACACCCCCATACCCTGGGACAGGAATGGGATCCATGTGCTTGAGACCCTGCACATGCTGTTTCCATCATGGGCTCCTCTTCAAGTAAAACAAAACAAAACTGAATCATGTGCTTGTGGCATCAGGAGGCGCACACATGCATACGTGCCATTTCAATGCCGTGGCTCTTGTTTTAAGTCTCCCAGAGAGAAACCCCAAATTGGGCATTTTCAGGGGTTACCTGTCCCCCTTCTCTGGAAACAGACACACTCGGTTTTCATTCCACACAGACAGAGGCAGACAGGTTGAGAAGCTGGGGGTGGTGAAGTGAGGGGATTCCTCCACACCCATGCACCTCGATGTGAAGTCCCAGGGTGAGGAGAGGTTGGTGTTGGGAAGGTCCCCAGGGTGAGGGTCTCATTGTACTATCACAGTCAGACTTTGAAAAGGGATGGGGGGGGCGGTCCTTTTGGGTAGTCCAGTCCCCAGAGCCTGAGACAGTGTCCTGCTCCTAGGGTACCTTCCTTTTTTAATTAATTTATTTCCATTTGAAAGGTCGATTTTACAGAGAGACAAGGAGAGACATACAGAGAGAAGTCTTCCATCTGCTGGTTCACTCCCGAAACTGCTATAATGACCAGAGCTTAACCAATCCAAAACCAGGAGCCTGGAGCTTCTTTTGGTCTGCCACATGGGTGCAGGACTTGGGCTACCCTCAGCTGCTCTCCCAGGCCATAAGCAGGGAGCTGGATGGGAAGTGGGGCAGCCAGAATACAAGCCGGTGCCCACAGGAGATGCTGGTGCCTCATGGCGGAGGATTAGCCTATTGTACCACCATCCCAGTCCTTGGGGTCTCTTCAATCAATTCTGCAGCAGGGAGTAAGCATAGCACTGGCCAGGCGTATGGTCTGTTATGTACCAGTAGAGTCTGGGACCGTGGAAGAGACAGTTTCTAAGGGGCTGTCCCCGTCATCCTCACACATCCAGCTCTGGTCACCTGAGCCTAGTTGTAGTAGGGTCCTGGTGCTTAGCGGGGAGCACTTCAGGTTTTCTCCCTCCATCTGGCCACCCCTTTTGTCAGTGACAATGTACCCCAGAGATTCAGGGATCCCAGAACTGGCAGGGGCCTGGTCAGCTGGCCCGCCACTCACTGGATATCCAGTGAATCTCTGCAGGGGTCTTGCTCTGCCCAGGTTCCAGGGGTACCATCTGCCACTCTACTTCCTGTACCAGCATTCAGCCGCTTTCCTTCAGGGCTCAGGGCAGAGGTGTCCCAGTGGTGCTTGCCCCCTGCTTAAAGCCCTGCCCAGGGCACCAAGAGACAGTGAGGTACTTACTGGTCTGTATGCAGCTTTGCTGACAGCATGTTGGGCTGAACTCCTGCCCTCTAGGATGCCCATTGAGGCCCAGCCTGCTAAAGCCAATCAATAACTTTTCAAAACTCCATGGTTGGAGCTGGCCAGTGCTGCGGTGTAGCGGGGGAAGCCACTGACAGGAATTCCTGCATCCTATATGGGATCCAGTTAAGAGTCCTAGTGGCTTCCCTTCTGTTGCAACAGCTCTCCCTGCTAACGCCCCTCAAAAAGCAACAGAAGACAGCAAAAGTGCTTTGGCCGCCACCGCTCACATGGGGAGATCCAGAGGAAGCTACTGGCCTGAGCCTGGCCCAGCACTGTGTTCATCTGGGGAGTGAACCAGCAGGTGGAAGAGCTCACTCTCAATCAATAGTAATAGCAGTAGTATTAATAAAAGCTGGTCAGTTGCAGACTCTGCCACCAGCTAAGCAAGCAGCAGGGAGGCACCTTTGAGTTCCAGAGCCTGTCACAAATGGCTCCTCATCCCCTCCCGGAAGCACAGCCTCTGAGGACCTCTCCCTGGAGAGCCCCTGATCAATATGTCGTCATCCCTCCCCTCTCCCCCTGCCAAATCCAACCTTTGCCCCTAGCATGCTCTTTTTTCAACAATGCCTCAGCAGCCCTAACCAACAGAATCCTGTGCAAGCCACATCTGCTACTTCTAAACATTCCAGTAGCCACATTCAAAAAGAACGTAGCAACTAAAAAGAAACAGGGAATTCGGTTAACATTATAATGTCATCGACTCAGGAGGTCAAATATACCCTCGCTTCAATGTCTGTCAAACCAGGATCGAAGCTATCCCTGAGAGATTCCACGTTGTCAAATCCCTACTACTAATTTCAAATCCCGGGTGTTTGTCTAGCACTCCCAGCGGCAGGGAGCAGCAGCATGCCCAGTGCTCAGCAGACGGCC